CCCACAATGTCTGAGCTGGCCTCTCTGGTCATCTGTTCGAACTCTACTGCCCTCTTCAGGTGACCAAGACCCACCCTGGCATTCTTTTTGAAATGTGAAAGTCCCCTTCCTGTTTGTTCGGTGACACGTGGTGTTCTCAGCACATCTCTCTAGCTGGCCATGCCAGCTCCCCTGCTTGGAGCCATGCTGAGGAGCTAAGCCCCATCAGCATTTAGGGAAGAGGAGGCAGTCCACTTGCGGCTGCGTTCCAGCTGTAGGAATCTGGATATCTACAGGCAGAACTCTAAATACATGACCCAAAAGGGCTGTGACCAGGACATTCTGCACTGTAGGGTAAAACTGAAGAGCTGCGAAACACCTACCACAAGGCACAGGAAGCAAACCACCATTCTGGTGCTGTGCCCATGACCTGTAGTATCTACAGGGAGAGCTGGAGGATATATTTGGAGGTGACCCCACCAAAGACTCCCATAGATGTCTCAGGATTTCAGGCAGCATCTGGTGGTGGACTGAGCTAGGAAGAGGAAGTTGTGGCCAAGTGTGCTCAGACGCAGAGGGTCCCAGAGCCAGAGGAGTACTACACATTAGAGGCTTACGGCCAAGGAGCTGGTTTGTACCCCTAAAGAGGCGAGCCACTCGCAGCTCTCAGAGGCTGTGGATGAAGTGACTGGCAAGTGGTTGGGAAAGTGCTCAAACAACTTTCCGGGAACGGGAGGGTTACAGAAAGGAGGCTGGGTTTGGTGTGATGCTGCTGTCAGCAGAGGATCAGTCAGATGGGGAACAGACAGTGGCTGCAATCTCTTATGACTTGGCAATCTGCCTTAGAGACCTCATTGAAAGTTTCATGCAGCTGCTCTGTCACCCTTCTCCTCAGCTCAGCTGGCAAAGCAAACATGGTATTTGCCCCTAGCGGCTGACATTCCCTTATCATTGTCCTGGGTAAGAGGACTGGTAACCATCGCTGCGCAAAGACAAGCTACATATGGTCCCAGACAGAACCCGCATTTGAGTAAAAGACCCTCATTTGCTTCCCTACTCACCCCTTGCACTGCACACAAGACAGCAGCTTGTTAGTCTCCAAGGTGCTGCAGAACGATTTCTTGTTTTTAAGTTTTTTAAGCTGTTCCAGAATTGCATTACAACTTCTTGGTTTGTAGATAGGCTTCAGAAAACGCCTTAAATTAATTAACAATGTGCTGATGTGGACTTTAACAAAAATCCACATAGAGGGGGACAGGAGGAGGCACTCAATGCCTTCTTTCCCAAAAGAAAAAAAGAGGTTCTCTTACTCATCCTTCCCTCTCATTGAACTTGCCAGCCTTAGCTCAGTGTGCAGGCTAACACTTTTTTGCATTTCCCGCAAAGTTGGAAAATCAGGAAAATTACAATCCAAATGTTCCTTCTTTTCCTCACACATCCCAAGAATTTCTTTTTTCCTTACTATTGATTGTTTAGATATTCTGTCAGTAGTCTCCTTCACATTCAATAAAAACACAACACAAACTAACAGCATCACGCTAGTGCAGTGTTTATAGACACTATGTCTGCACTGGGAAGCATAGAAGCTTCTCTATAAAAGCAGTGCATGCACCCCTGGGTTCAACTCAACTGACCCAATAAGGCTGGCTCAAAGAGCTAGGAACAGAGTTAAACTGCTGCAGCAAAGGAAGTCGATTAGAAAAGGAAGCACAGAACCAGATATAGTTTAGAGGAAATCTTGTGGCCAGAACTGACTGGGTAAATTAGAGCAGCGAGGGGGGATTTGATAGCAGCCTTCAACTTCCAGAAGGGAGGTTCCAAAGAGGATGGAGAGGCTGTTCTCAATAGTGACAGAGGCAGAACAAGGAGCAATGGTCTCAAGTTACAGTGGGGGAGGTCTAGGTTAGATATTAGGAAAAACTGTTTCCCTAGGAGGGTGGTGAAGCACTGGGATTGGTTCCCTAGGGAGGTGGTGGAATCTCCATCCCTAGAGGTTTTTAAGTCTCTGCTTGACAAAGCCCTGGCTGGGTTGATTTAGTTGGGATTGGTCCTGCCTTGGGCTGGGGGCTGGACTTAGTGACATCCTGAGGTCTTTTCCAGTTCTATGATTCTAAGTATCAGTCTTTGCTTTGACTAGAAAGAGCTAACTGAAGTGATTTCCCTCCCCTGTCCCCCTCCCCCCAAAGAACACCCTCACTAAATAGCACGTGGACTAGCTCAAGGCCTGAAAGGTGCTCTCTGAATTTCCTACAAAAATCATTCATAATATAAGATGTTGCAAGAGTACTAAGGATGTTAAGAGGCAGCAACTGACTAATAATTTGTATCGACTACACGATTAGTTGATAAGGGAAGGCGCTCTGTTCTGGCTCACGTCAGTCCAGGAGCTACCCCCACTGCTTCTCTGCAGCTGAAAGGTAGTAGGCACTGGGCGCACAGGCAGCCCGGCTCATAGTACATTTAAACTGCAGAGGCACAGTGGGGGTAGGTCCCGGTCCAGCACACGCCAGGACTCTCTGCGGCTCTGCATTTTAAATTTAGTAAGAACCAGGCGGCTCTTATTATGTGTAAAATGCGGAGCCATAGTGATCCAAGACTAGGAATGTTAAATTTAGATCAACTAATGTTGCAAATTGCATTGACTATTTGATTAGCCAATTAGATTAGTCGATATGGGTGCCTCTGTCTTTGAAGTGTAGCAACAGCCTCAGGGCTATTGCTACACTTAAAAGGCGGAAGCATTGCAGGGAGCATGGGACCAGCAGGCCCCCCACTGGCTCCATGCTTCCCACAGCGTTTCAAAGCAGCACCGCTGTATGGAGCTAGAGGGCAGTGGGAGAGTCCCCAGCTGATCCCTGGCTCCACGTGGCACTGCTGCTTTAAAGTACTCTCTCTTCCCCCACTGCCTGTTTCTGATGGAGGCAGCAAGGGGGCGGAGGGGAACTGACTAGTTGACAGCATGTCAACTATCAGATAAGCATCCGATAAGCATTCACATCCCTATCGCAGACCCGTGAGAACTGGGGCTGAACTGGGCTTGCTCTCACCAAGTTCAGCAGCCCTTGCTGGCAGCCGGCCCCAGCTTCGTGGTAGCCTCTCCTATCCCGCCATCCCCCGCATCATCCTCCAATTCCCCCCCCCTTATTGCCTCTAATATAGAGGCAGCGGGGAGGAGAGGGGAGGGGAGGGGAGAGGAGAAAAGGGGAGGAGAGGGGAGGAGGGAGAAAGAGAGCAAGAGTGAATAATCAGCTTGACTGCTTATTGGGCAGTCAACTACTTGCTCACATCCCTGAAGAGTAAAAGTTGATATTTTACAGAGACCTTAGCACTTCGAGACAAAACAAGAGAACCACCACTTGGATGGTTACCATGAAAACCACCAATCTATTTTCTCAAAAATATTGTTAAGCGCCAAATTAAAGAACATATAATCTCTTTAGATTTAGAAATCCAACACTCTGGTCATCTGAAGTGGGCTGTGCCCACGAAAGCTCATGATCCCATCTACGTGTTTTGTTAGTCTTTAAAGTGCTACCAGACTATTTGTTGTTTAAGTTAGTAGATTTTTAGTCAGCTAAACATCAGATATCAAATAGAGGTGGAGCATGGGTGTTTCCTTGGTCTTAGAATATATCCTCAAAGCATCTGTGCACATTGCCAAAGATAAACATCTTATTTTCCATATCCAGGCCTGCTGACCAGGGCGGAGATGGGGGACAAATGGGGCAGTTCATCGAATCATAGAACCATAGAGCTGGAAGAGATCTCAGAAGGTCATCAAGTCCAGCCCCCTGCTCTAGGGAGGACCAATCCCAACTAAATCAACCCGGCCAGGGCTTTGTCAAGCCGAGACTTAAACACCTCTAGGGATGGAGACTCCACTACTTCCCTAGGTAACCCATTCTAGTGCTTCACCACCCTCCTAGTGAAATAGTTTTTCCTAATATCCAACCTGGACCTCTCCCACCTGGGATGAGGTTTACCAGGGAGGTCAACAAATGCCTTTGATGTCGACCATGGAGCATCCAGACTGATGCGTGGAGTCTACAAACAGCTGATTGGCACAGCATGGCAGCCATTTAAATTTAAATGAAGCAGCGATTATTTAAATTGCCGCTTCATTTCCCTATGCCCAGTAAACAAATCTACATGGCTCCATCGACGGAGCCATGTAGTGTAGACATACCGTCTACACTACTCTCCTAGTTCGAACTACCTAGTTCGTGCCCCGTGTACCCGCACTGCACGGGGTTCGAACCAGCGGGGTTTTAAAAATGGCGGCTCCCTGCCTGGGTCCCGGTGATTCAAAGGGGTCTGAAGCTCCGGTCGCCCCTTTAAATCGCTGCGAGTGCACCCTGCCACATGCTCTGGGCAACACTAAGGGCTGGGTAGAGGCACAGCTACTGAGGCAGCAGTGCGAGAGGGGCAGGCAGGGGCTGATGCACACGGGGTTTAACGGATGAGAGCCCAGGCTCATGGGCTGCACTTTCACATCCCTAACAACTAACAGAGCTACTTTCTAAATTCCAGGTGTGAAGATTTTAAAAAGATCAAATAAGTTTTGGTTGTTTGGGTCCTGCCCCCAAAGGTTTTTTGTATTTCTAAATTTCAAGGCAAGGGTTCTAACATCTCCAATGCAAGTTGTTTAATCGTTATTTACATGCAAATATTTATCTGCTTTATTTAATCATTCAGTACCACAACGGTCACTGGATAGCATCATGTTTCAATTGATCTTCTAAGACTCTTCAAATATTGCTGGAACCTTGTATGTATGTTTGGTCTTTTGAAAAACCATTTTGCAGCTGAAACCACTGTCATGGAAAGTATTCTTAGGCCGTTTTAGGGTACGTCACTTTTCAGCGTGGTTACAACGTTTAACCAGTTAGCCTCACCATTAATGAGTGAGGCTTACCAGTCTCGGTTAACTGGTAGCGGCGGGAGCACCTTCCCGCCCACCAACTCCCACTTGTACAAAATGACAAGCACACACAAATCTGTTCTGAAGATGCTTCACTTACCTCTCCCATAGCCCTTCCCTCCAGAGCTAGTGCTTGAAAATCATGATTCAGTTCATCCATTGAACGCACCTATTATGAACAGAGGAGAAAAATGAGGTACTGACTATATTGTGTTCCAATTACAAATCAGTTTTTAATTTATTTTTTCAAACAAAATGCCAGCGAATCTTACTCTTTATTAAAGTACTCCACAGGGCTGTTTAGGAGAAAAATGTGACAACTTTAAAAATCTTAAAATCTAGAGTATATTTTCTACCAATTATACACATATATTCAAAAGTAAAAATAAGCAACTCTTCAAGTAACCAACTCTAAAACAGATAAGAGTGATTTCCCCTGTGATCGGAGAGTGTGCATTGCAAAGACAGCTGTATTACAATCTCTGTGCACAAGCAAATGAAAACAAAATCCAAAGGTTAATGTGATCTCAAATATAAGACAGGGTAGAATCAACATTCATAGCACTAAACAATGAAGAATAAAAATTCTGTAGTGCACTGATATTTAAATCAACAGGTTGGCAGTGGAGACAGCATAAAATACCACCTCACCCTCTCCATCTGAGCCTACAATGTCTCTATCAAAAATCTGTTTAATAAAGTTTATCTGATCCACAGATTAGTGTCACACATTCTGCCTCTGAGGGACTGAAAGTAAAAATTCAGACGGACAATATTAGTTTATAAAAAATACCAAATGTTCAGAACATCCTTATACTATTCCAAGTTTACAATAAGCCTTGAGGAATAGGTTACAACTGTTTCTTCGGCAGTAAGTTTCCTGGTCAAAGATTTAGAAATGCACAAACCAAACACCTTCCAAAATAAAACTATTTAAAAACAAACATTTATGCACATTAATAAAGGCTTCCAATACAAGGACTATTCAGAGAGGAAGCACTGTTTATAGCCTGGCACTCTGTGCCCCACCCCAGCACCCTGTCCCCTGCCCCCACTAGCATTATGCCCCCACTAGCACCCTTCCCCAGTATCATGTCCCCTGCTCCCACCAGCACAGTTGGGGCCACATTAGTGAGGCTTTCAGGGATTTTGGAGGAGTTATTTTTTTTTGCATCTCACTTGTGTGGCCCCAACTGACTTGTCTATGGGTCAGTGACCCCTGACTCAGAACAGGTTCCCTGCCCTTCTCAGAAATAAAGACAATGCTGAAACTTTTTGTGTTTGACATATTTTATTTACAAATGAAGCCTGGCCAACAAACCACCAATTGGGGCCAAGCCCCCAACTGGCCGCAGCATCATAACACTCCTGCACCCCCTGCCCAGACCCTAGATCTGAGCCTATCATACACTGGAACCCCCTGTCCTGAGCCTCTCACATCCCCAAACTCCTGCACCCCCACATCCTTAGTCTTTTGCCACAACACTTCTGCACCATTCACACACCGCAAATCTGTGTCCTAAGCCCATCATACTCCCAACCTCCCTGCCCTGAGCCCCTCACATTCCCCAACCCAAACTCCTGCTCCCTCAACTCCACAAGCCTGTGGCTTGCTCAGTACCCCAACCCTCCACCTCACCCCAACACCTCCCAGCCTGGAGCCGCCTCCCTGAGCCCGCATCCCCAAATTCCCTCCCACAGCTTGCACCTCTCACCAGTTCCCACACCCAAATCCCTCATTCCCACCACAGAGCCCACACATCCTGTCTCAACCCAGTGAGGGTACATCTAGACTGCAGGAGTTTTTTTGGGATTCCATAGGTATCCCGGAAAAACTCTTCCACATCCAGGGACGCCTTTGTTCTTCCACTTTTTTTAAAAGGAAGATTAAGGTAACCCTTGTATTCCTTGTTCCACAAGGAATAAGGGGGCTTCCGAAAGAAGGGGTTTTTCTGACATTTGGCCCAGTCTAGACAGGCCAAATGTTGGAAAAACCTCTTCCTACAGAAGAATAGGAAAAAAGCAGCAGAGCAGCCATAACCTGAGAGTGTATAATGGCTGGGGATAGCAAGTGATGGAGAGGAGAATAGAGAGGGTGGGGCTTCAAGGAAGGGGTGGGGTCTTGGGGGAAGGATGGGATGGTAGATCTTGGCTTGTTCTGACATTTAAAAAAAGTGATCTTGAGTGTAAGAAGGTTGGAGACCACTGGTTTACAGGGTTCCAATAATTCTTAGCACTTACCCCCCCATTTTTCATCTATACAACTCAAAATGCTTTACAAAGATGAAAATCACTCTCCATACTGCAGAAAGACATGTTGAAGTTAGGGATGTGAAATCCCATTTAACTGATGAACCGGTTAACCAAGTGACCGGGGAAAGAGGGGGGCGCGTTTGTGTAGTGACCCTACTGCCCAATGCAGCCAGCTGGAGCAGCTTCCCACTTGCTAACCATTAGCCATCCCTTGTTATGGGTGAGGTTCACAGGTTAACTAGTTATCCATTAGTATCCCTAGTTGAGATACAGGGGGGAAGCAACCTACACACAGTCACAGTACAGTAGAGTCTTGATTATCCGACCTTCCTTTATCCGACATTCTATGTTATCCAACCTGCCTGTGGCCACCCGAGGAAATTGTGCGGCCAGTGGAGCCGGCAGAGTGGAGCACGGAAGGGAAGGTGCCGGGCAGTGCAGAGACAAAGGCAGCGAGAGAAGAGGGAGGAGGAAGCAGGGCCATGCGGCAGGATGCGGGAGCCCATGCCCCCTGAAGGTCACGGGGCACCCCGATCTCTCCCATTGCCTCTGGCCAGCTGTGCTGTCCCCGACCTCCACATCTCACCCGGCCAGTCGCTCTGCCCCCAACCTCCCCTATCTCTCCGAGCCAGATGCAGGGCAGCGCGACTGGCTGGGAGAGAGAGGGGAGGTCGGGGGCAGCGTAGCTCCCCATGAGGCAGCCGAGTGTCTGCAGAGCGGCAGCTGACGGGGAAAATACCTTGGACCCCTCAAGGTATTTTCTGTATTATCCGACATTTTGATTATCCGACCATCCTTCAGTCCCGTTTAGGTCGGATAATCGAGACTCTACTGTATGTCAGTGACAAAACCTAGGCTCAAAGAGAGATCTTGAGACTTCCAGCATATAAAAGTATCAGGGGGTAGCCATGGTTAGTCTGAATCTGCAAAAACAATGAGGAGTCCTGTGGCATCTTATAGACTAACACATTTATTGGAGCATAAGCTTTTGTAGGCAAAGACCCACTTCGTCAGATGCATGTAGTGGAAATTCCAGAGGCAGGTATAAATATACAGGCACGTGAAAATAAGAGAGTATCAATCAAGAGGAAGGCCAGAGATGAGAAGGTCAATTCAGTCCTGGAGGATGTGGCCTACTTCTAGCAGTTGATGTGGAGGTGTGAACATCAAGAGAAGAGAGAGTGCTTTTGTAGTTGGCTAGCCATTCACAGTCTTTGTTTAACACTAGATTAGGAATGATTTTTTCCTAATGTCCAACCTAAAACTCCCTTGCTGCAATTTAGGCCCATTGCTCCTTGTCCAATCATCAGATGCCAAAGAGAACAATTTTTCTCCCTCCTCCTTGTAACACCCTTTTAGATAATTAAAAACCGTTATGTCCCCTCTCAGTCTTCTTTTTTCTAAACTAAACAAGCCCAATGCTTTCAGTCTTCATTCACAGGTCAAGTTTTCTAAACTTTTAATCATTTTTGTTGCTCTTCTATGGACCTTCTCTAAAGTTACATCAGAAAACATTTTGTAAATAGAGTCCTCCTGTCTTACAATTAAGTTTTGAGCAAGGTGAAGCACACACAACCAGTCCTACAATAGCATGCAAACATCCAGAGATGTTCTGCCTGTCTCTCACAATTTTCCCTTCAAACAGAATCCTCCTGAGATGTTTTCTAGCTTGCCTGTGAAGTAGCCTGTATTACTCTCCATGTTCCACGAGTAATGGAGGACATGTCATGATTCTTCTCCACTTTTCTGGCATTCAGTTAGCGTTACCACTACTTATAAGAGCTGTGCATGAAACCTAATCATAAGTCCTTTACCATTTCCAGCCCAAAGAGAAAGCAGGTCCTAAAGCAGTGTTTCTTAAACTTTAAGATGGAGGAACACCGATGTTTTTTTATGAGGATCTCCAAGGATTTTTTTGTTGGGGGTGGGGGGAGGCCGGGGGAAAGTTATTCAGCCAAAAAAAAGGGGGGGGGGGGTTATTGAGCAAAAAAAAGGGGCCATTTTGAACTCTGTTGTTCTCCGTGGCACACCTCCGACTGCCTCGTGGCACACCAGTGTGCCACAGAACACAGTTTAAGAAACACTGTCCTAAAAGCATTGGAATTGGAAACTGAAGTTACAACTTCAGTGGGGGTATTAAAATTCTACCATAGCTTGTGTCTGTCCCAGCTCCCAAAACATTATCTCAGATGGGAGCAGGTGGAGGAAACCTACCTCAAATGCAACACCTGACAAAGATGAAAATCCAGGAAGTGGAAGAGCAGCGAGGATCTATCTACTCATCGAACTGCACAGAAATGGATAGGGATTGAATTACAGTTTGAGCTGCATTAAAAAAAGAAAAGAAAAAAAAAAAGATCACCACTGAAAGGTAGAACAAGAATTCTGAAAAATGCAGAAAGGCAAGACCAGCACATACAGAAGGACAAGGAAGTAATTCTGCAGCACTCAGATATTACAGTGATGAGGGCCTTCTAACTACCGAAGAATCTCAGAATTACAAACACAAGAGCTATGGACTGATCAACCAACTACACACCTCATTTGGAACTGGAAGTACAGAATCATGCATCAGCAGAGACCAAAAAAAAGCAAACACGCTACAGTACTGTGTTAAACGTTGCATTTTTCTTCGGCATAGTAAGTTTCGAGCAGTATTAAGTCAATGCTTAGATGTAAACTTCTGAAAGAATATTGATGATTTATTCACTTATAAACATTTCAGAGTTACCAGCAATCTCCATTCCTGAAGTGTTCATAACTCTGAACATCTACTGTACCTGGAAATGCAGGCAGTACAGAGGTATATTAGAAGAACATATGACAATTGCATTGGGAGTTTTTAAATGAGCAATTCAAGACAAACAAAAACTGACTGCTGTTTTGACTAAGGATGTTAAAGACTAGTCGACTATC